AGCAAGACCAGCAGAAAAGGATTGGAAACACTGACTCCAGCCCATACAGGCTAAAAACCAGACATTACAAGAATCACACTGGACATTTTTAATGCACAAGAAGAATGTTAAGAATTTCATTACCAAATTAATCTATGCCCAGGAAAACCTTAAAAGGATGAGATTTCTTGTGATAGATTACTCAAACAAGCAGGGGAGTATTTGCACATCTGATCTAAGACTACCCAAGACATAAAATCATAGAATAGCTTGAGCTGGAAGGGATTCACAAGGATCATCAAGGCCCTGCACAGGACAGCTCCAAGAATGACACAATTTGTCTTAGAGCATTTTCCAAACATTTTTTGAATTCTGTCAGGCTTGGTGCTGTGACCACTTTCCTGGGGAGCCTGACCCAGTGCCTGATCACCCTCTGAGCAAAAACCACCTTTGATCTAATATCCAACCTCAATCTCCCCTGACACAGCTTCGTGCCTTTTCTTAGGCTCCTGCCACTGGTAACACAGAAGAGAAATCAGTGCCTGCCCTTTTTCTCTCCCTCCTGAACAGACTGCAATGAGGTCTCCACTCTGCCTCCTCCAGGTGAACAGATCAAGTGACCTCAGCCACAGCTCACACAGCTTCACCTGTACATCCTTCATCTTCATGACACCCCTCTGGATGCTCTCCAATAGCTTTTTTATCCCTCTTACATTGTGGTACTGTACACAGGACTCAAAGTGAGGCTGCACCAGCACAGAGCAGGACAATCTCCTCCCTTGCCTCGCTGGCAATGCTGCGCTTGACGCGCTCCAGGATATGGTTATCAGCAATTAATCTACAAATTTTAGCTAAAAGGAGACCTGCTGTTGAAATTAAGATATATAAACATACAAACCAAAACATTTTAAATTATAAAGCTTGCAAATGTATTGGTATCAGGGACTAACTTGAATTCCTTGTGTCAATAATGAAAAGCTTAAAAAAATTGGTTGTCTAGTATAAAAAGACTTAGAAGCTTGAAACAGGATAGGTCACAAAATTTATATTCATTGTTCAGACTAGATGATTGCAGTCCTTCCCCCAAGTCTCATTTAAATCATGTTTAGAGCACTATTCAAAATGCTAGTCAGATTCAGTTTTGTTTGTTTGAACAAAGATGGTATGAATAGCAGAATATTTGATAATGTGGAGAAGATAAGAATTAATTTCAACTGGTACATTCAGTATTAGAATAAGTAGCATTTCTCTTTCTACAATAGAAAATAATACTGCCAATTTTTTCCCTAGCATTAGCAGCTTTGTTGCATTCTAGACTACACAACGTGGCACAAAGCAGGTGAAAACACTCTTCTTGTGGGTTTTGAAATATTTCTTGGATTGGTATAGAATTTCCAACCCCTAAATATTAATTCCATTGCTTTCTCTCAATACTACCCAAAAATCAATGTTGCCTTTCACTTTGGGTGACCAGAACTCTTATTTTCACTAAATCAGTCCCAAAACCAAATAAATTGGTGTGATAAGCCTCTTTTGGATTGTTATTTAGAATTGGGGGGGGGGGGGAAGAAGTTGTTTTGTTTGATTGTTTCTTTGTTTAAAGACATGGGTGACTGTGGGCAGAGAACAGAAAATTAGCTAATGTAGCTTGGCACCCACTGTGCCAAGGCTTTCACACAAGAGTAGAATAGAAATAAGACATCAAAGACCACTCAGAAATGGAAAAAAATATTCTTTGAGCACAGCTATGAGAGACAGAAAAAAAGCATGGGAGATATTAGAAGGATGCAATAAAACATATTAAAGATGCAGGAAAGGTCAAGTCAGCCTTAGAATAGAAGTTAACTGTTTCATTTCATTACACAGTTGTTTTACAGGACACACATTTTGCCGCCTTAAAAAGGAAAGAAGACTCAATCACAACATCTCATTGAAGTGTTATAAATATCACAGGAAAAAAACAAAAGAATATTATTAAACACATCGAAAAACCGAAACTTCTGAGAGCTCAATCATCTAAGCATTTGTTTAGTTCTACCCATCCCCCTGCAGAAGGTGTTATTTACAAATCCTAAGCCCAAATTCCAAAGAAACCCATAAAAAGAAATTTTATTTGGATTAAAAAGAACAAGTTTTTTTCTGCTGTCTTTGCGTACTTCCCAGAAAATCAAACACTTGTAAGTGGTTCTTCAAATTTCTTTGGTTTGACTTTGGAATATAATATTTTTGAAGTTATTTTGGAAGAAAATAAAAACTACTTCAGCTGCAGTTTTGATTTAAGTTTTTATTCAAATTACAGGATTTACCACTCAGTTTTGTTGCATTTGAAGGCTAATTTTGTGGATTTTCTCTACTAATGGCAATAAAACCATTCTATTTGGTTCAATAAAACATATCACAGACAGTATTTTCAGGAAATACATCTTCAGCAGAAGATAACCATTTTCCCTGTGCAAATGGAATACACTAAATAGAGACAGAGGATCAAAACTCAAAATTTAAAATACTAGCATCTCCTGTAAATTCACATAAGATGACAGCTAAAGGCCTCAGAGCAGTTAGAAGCTCCACAAAGCCAAACCCTTTAAAATGTTCAAAAGACGGCCCAAACTAGACCTGCCTGCTATATCACACCTGATTTATCTGCTATAATGTTACTGAAGAGCACCCTTTTCTCAAGACAGAAATTACCTAATTTTCCAATAGTTTGTCTGAAAGCAACTCTATTAGTGCCATGGTTTAGCCTCCAACTCTAGCATGGATGACATGCAAATTCATAAAGAAAATTAACTCTACCCTAGCCAAAACCAGAACTATGACATGTGAACTACCCCACATTTCACACACACTTCTGAAGCAAGAAGACATTTCCAAAAGTGAAGAGCAGTTTGAGACTGGCCATATTTAACACACAGCAGCCAAGAGACGTGCTTGTTTCTAACAGTAGGTCAGAAAGTATTGTCAGACTTCTGTATCTCTTGGAAGTTCAAGAAATACACTTGCTTCAAGGCATAGCCATCGAAAGTATTGAGCCCAGCTTTGTCACCTCAATTGATGCACTAGTTAGTAGGCAATTATAGCACAAGAACATTTTTTCTCTTTATCTTTAGACGGTAAGTAATACAGTCAATTAACTAATGGGCTATGTATTATGTGTGTTTAACACAAGGAAGGTTAGAAGGCCGTGACTCCAGTCAGTTCAGTCAGGACACTACCCACCACACTGAATGCCACAGGAGATTTCACTGAATGCCACAGGAACCTGGCTGAATCAGAACATGGAAACAACGCAGGCACCTAAGGATACAAGCTTCTCAAATGAGACACTGAGGTGCAAGTCAGAAAAGATTTGTGCTGGGGAAAAGAGGGCAGAGACAGTCTGGTGAGGCACTGACTCCTTCCTAACACGTCACTTCTGACAACACATCGCTTCTGGGGACATGCATGGAAATGCCAGGGACTGTGAGGACAGCAGAGGGGGGAAAGAAGTTGCCAAAAGAGCAACTTACAAAAGTACAAAGAGATGACAAAACTGACAGCTTCCTTTTGTGTCTAGTCATTATCCTCTGCAGTTTTGTTAACAAAGGAGGTTACTTGATGAACACATTTATTATACCAACAATGTAATCTACCACAGCTTCAATGCTATACAGCTGTACATTTGAACTCAAACTTCTTGGAAGTACTCATTATGTAATTTCAGCTAATTTGTTAAAGCAGAAAGCAAAGAATTTACATAAAACATACAGCTTGTTATAAAAATATATTTCTTTTTACTTAATCCTATGCAAGCAATCCTAATATATTGTTTACAAATTACATTAGGAAATGGACAATTAAAATTAAATTAGAAACATCTCTAAAAAAAGGTTAATTCCTCTGCTGTGAATTTCTTTTTTTAAACTCTTACTATGCAAATATTTATATACTATTAATTATTTGAAAAAGACAGTTGCACATTTAATATAAAAATGTGTCAGCTGCCATGATGTTTCTCATCCCTGCAGTGAGAAGTTCTGTCAAGCTCTGAAGTTCAGCGTTGTTCTCTGACAACTTTTCACATCAAAATAAGTTAAGAAGTGGTACAATATCTTAACATGAATCTTTGTATAACAGAGAGAATCGTACCTGCAGGGAAACAGAAACATAGTCATGGAGACAATTAGTTTTGTCTCACCTTTCTCCCATACACTAGTTGCATAACATCCAATTAAAAGAGCAGGAAAATATCAGGTAAGGAGACAAATCAAATCAGCTCCCTCTTCAGAGTTCAGATTCAGAATGACTCTAGAGAACAAGAGCTGGAGTCTACAATGGCAATAGTGCCCCTCTTCCTGTCCCAGATAGGAAGTTCTACTTTTCGTATAAAGGAGCCAAAAATTAACATAAAAAGCAAGTCAGGTTTGTTGTATGACAATTTCAACTCAGTGGTTATTTTCCAGAATAACCTTCATCCCATTTCTCTGTGTTATATTAATGCTTTGGGGAACAATACCGTCATCCAGTGCTCCCAAATTCTGCCTGTTCATCATGCATATTCTGTTTTTGCACAATTCTACACAGCATAAATCAGCTGATGTATCAGCACTTGGCAGCTATTGCATTGCTTTAAATTTTTATATACCAAAACAGAAGAAACACTCTGCAATCACAGCCAAAAACTATATACAAGTTGTCATTCCGCTCCCCAGCCCAAAGATCTGCAGCTATTAACCAAATGAGAACAAGAGAAGCTATGTGAATGCTTTTAAGCCCAACTCACTACACAGAAATTTAATAAAAATCATTCTATAATGAAAAGAAGCCTTTTAAATTCTTAATGTGTAACTAATCAGATGAGAAGTCACTTTAAAAGACAGAGCAAATGATTTAACAACAGTGGTAAATTTTCCACTTGCTAGAAAATGAAATTATTAGTTTTTGTTGACTGTTTATGTTTTACCTTCCTGGAAAACAACTTATTTAGAGATATACAAAGATAAAATCTCAAAAATTAATAGTCCAGGAAAGAGTTTACATACTTAGGATGTCGGATGTCTGGCAGGGATCGTTCCAGTGCTATGTTGTTGCTAACAAATATGTTGAAGCCATTTTCCCTATAAGCAGAATCATCATGGTCTTCCTCTGTAAGAGGGTATGGTTTCCCATGTTCACCTTTCCCTATAACAAAACAAAATAATTATTTACCTCAAACTGACAGCAAAAAATGTACTACAAAGACAAAAAGAAGTTACACTGAACCTCAATTAGTACACTGTGCCTGGAACACCTCAAAGGAATCTCTTGCAATGTCTTCAGCAATACTTCTGTTATTTTCAATACAAAACCAGAAAGTAGGTACAAAGTCACCCAATTCATCTAACTTTCCTCTATCCAGACACACAATCAGGTTAAAGCCATTTTATATAGAAAAATCTCAATTGCAAATTAAGCCAAGACCTTTCTTTTCCATAGCAAAATTATGAACAAATGGATCAATTCCAGCAATACGCCTTTCAGTCACTATGAGAAACCTGGTTACTGAGTTACTTTACCTTACAGCACACCTAACACCCACTCGTTTTCAGAATGCAACTTCAGCACTGAAGTTTAAGGTGTCCAACCTTCCAAAAGAAAGAATAATTAAACCAGATGTTTTGCTCTAGGCTCCTTGAACATCCTTGCACTCCTAGGGACAAGACAGATGTACTCAGTGTTTCTAAAGCCACAGCACTGTGGAGTTGGTTTCAGAAACTGCTCACTTTGTGCTACCCCAAAGAAATTATCTGCTTGTTCCCTAGTAAAGCACAGGCTTTTTAGTCCAGCTTTTTATTCCCAAGTTAGTTCTCATCATCAGTCACTTGGCTTGCTTAGTACCTACCTCAGGCTATTATACCTCTACCTCTTCCAGTAAGAGAGCAGAGAACAAAAAAAAGCACTTCAAAGAAAATCAGAAAATAAAAGCCTTCAATTCTTCTCAACTAGTTTTATTCTTCCCATTATTGCAGAGGATATACTCTTCAGAGTTTCAAAACCCTTCCAGCCTACACAGGTTCTCAAGAACATATGCTTTACTTTACATTTTACTGATCAGTTTATAGCCTCTCTGTCCTTCTACCACCAGGCTTCCTCTGAAGAAAATACCTCCTTTTACCTGGGCTCTTATAGAGAAATTAATCACCTGGACTCAAGTGATCAAGGGCATGTGATCCTCAGCTAATCAGGAGTAGCTACAGGAGTGGATGAAAAGGAAAGCAAGCAGAAGCTGAGAGAAACATCCAGTGGTATTCCTAAAGCCCTTAAGCCCTGTTAGCACCCTATTTTGCACTGCACAAGCACAAGGCATTAAAAACAGAGAATATGCAATTAAAGGTACTGTAGTGACTCAATTTTAGACTTTTTTCAGCTAAAATAGTAATTTTTTAATTCCAAAATTCGTACATATATTTACAATTTCATTTAAATTCTTAATGAAAACAATTACTATTACATACAAGGGGGGGAATTAATTCCTATCATGAAACCCTTTCTGTTTATGCTATTTCATTACCAACAGGTATTTGTCATTTTTTATCCCCAAATGCATGCTGCAACACACTAATATAATACAAAATCTGAAACTAAGTTTCTATGTGCATCTTTATGATTTCATACTAATAATAGGAAGAAAGTATGATTCTATAAAAGCAGCTAATGAGTCAAAGTACTACTCCAAATTCAATGGTACAATTGTATCAAATATGATTCATAATAAAGTAACACTAAGCTAATGTCATTCAACCTAAAACACCAAAATTTTAGCCCCTCTCTTTCAGCCTATATTCTACAGAGACCAGAAGTAAATATTTTAACTGGCTATTAATAAGAGTTTTATCCAGATAGTTACTAATACTGTGAACATTCCGAAATAAATGACCTATATGATTAAAACATGCTATTGCAAATAAGTTTTTTTTGCTATACATTTTTGTGCATATTCCAGCTATTCACCCTGTATGAAGAGAGGTGGATTCTTGCTTTGTTTTTCTTAAATGAGTCCCTTTGGCTCTTCAGGAGATGAATATTTGTCCTAAGATTTTCTTCACAATGTCCCTTACCAGTGAAACTGAAGGCAAGCATTTTTAAAACAGCTTTCCGTTCTTCCCCATCAAATAAGAAGCAATATCACTGTGTGATGAAGTATAGATATCATGGTGGTTATCTAGAGCAACTCAGGAATGGGCAGAACATTCCCCTACCATGCTGTGTAAGTATTTGCCCAAATTGCTTTTGCACTTATGCAGTAGAGCTCAGCCATGAGGTGCACTAGGTGTGAAGCATGACTCTTTCCTAACACTTTATTAAAATACTTGTGTATAGCATAAACAGAGGCTTATGCACTTTTTTGAATGTCATGACTACTTCTCCCAGCTTTTTGTTTGCTTGCTCTCCCACCCTGCAGCTCCTCCTGATTAGCTATGGATCATTAGCTAGGGGAACCATCTATCAGGTCCAGCTGGAAGCAGTTTGCTAATTTCTCTAAAAGAGCTTTGGTAAAAAGAGACCATTTCTTAGGAAGAACCTTGGAAGGAGAGAAATAGAGAGCTCAGAAGATAAGCATTAAAAAAAATTCAGTACAACTTCTGGGTGACCATTAGGCTTGAAGGATTCCCTTTGTAGAGAAAAGTGCCATGCATGAGCCCACTCAGCATTAAAAAACATCATAAACACGGAAAATTCTCCTGTCACTGATTCACCTCCCTAGATGTCTGACAGTAATTTCCATCACTGCACACTGGTTTGGAGGTGGACCTATATGCCAGGAGAAAAAGGGGAAATTCCACAATGCAAGAAGAGTAAAATTCTGGTAAAAAGGACCCTGATTAAGTACAATTTTAAGTGTAATTACTGGGTACGGAAGACTACTTTAAATCTATTGATAGACAGATGTAAGCCCTCTTATACTGTCTCTTCTGTCTGAAAGCAAAACAGCAATACAGAAAGCGCAACAAGGCTATAAAGTACTATAGGAACTGAGAGTAAAAAACCCAATGGTAATTTTTTTTGCCTCTTTATATCTAAAAGGGGACTCATCCAAATGTGACTCATTCAAATGTGATGGATAAAACCAACCCAGCACTAACACTGGGCCCAAAAATCCCATCAGAATGCTCCACTGCATGGGAAGCCTCAGAGCAATGTTTAATTCATACAGTGCCGTCTTACCTTTGTGATTACAGCATTATTAGTCTGATTTTTAATTTCAGTAATCAACGTAAGCAAGCAAGAAAATATGCTAGGTTTTCCTCTTAAGGCACTATGATGGCTTTAGAGTTAACATCTCTACATTGCTTAGTACTGTGCTATTTTAAGGGTTCTAATACACCGTCTTAAAACGATTCTCCATAGGCATTCACATAAAAAATATAAAGATATTGAAGGCATCAAGATAAAGTACTAGCTTGGCCAAGTATTAGGCTTTTTTAGCCCTACTCAGGGATGTTACAGTCTCCTAGGAAACCACACACTGTATACCTAGCCCTAAAAATTGTCAGTTCTATGCTTAGCAACTTGTGATAACTGATAGTTCAAGGACACCTCAGTTAGGCATCTTCTGCTTATATATAATGCAGATACAGCAGGAGGAGAATAAGCCCTCTGGTTCAACAGATGGTTCAAAGGGAAGATAATTAAGGTGAAATAAGAAAGTAAAATAACATTCTGTATACGTAGTACAAAAATCTAATTGCAGAATAATGGGTCTCAATCAACCACACTGGTATAGTTGTCAGATACTACAATTATAAAGAGAACAGGGATATTGTTCGCAAAATAGATCAGCTGTAAATCAGTTTGAAAATGCAGGAGTGCTGCACTACTTCCATATGCAATAGATGGGGGACCTTGCTTAAAACTATAAACAACAAATCAAGTGGCAACAGGTTCTCATTTCAGGGTCTTTTGGGTTTTCTTTTGGGGTTTTGTTTTTATAATTCAGATGAACTTCATTTATAAAAATTATAAAAAAGATTGGCTTTGCCATATAAGTTTAAGAAATTAAATAACTGCTTGACATCTTAACGCAAGAAACCAAGTGGATAAAGAACATAAGCCATTGAGTGTCTGTGGGGAAGAGCTGTGTACAAATCTGAATTATTTACTGTTTCTACTCACTGCTATTAGTTTACTCAGGCATGACTACACAGCCATACCAATTCAACACTATAATTCACAGAAGTATTTAAGCACAGACTTTAATTCAAGCATTCAAGCATCCTTTAACCCTAAACCAGTAGTAGGGAATAGGAATTCTCCATGTGCTAAATGCTTTAGTACATATAAGGACTTTATTTTCATATATAAACCTACAAATAATTAAGTTGTCTTACTTGTAGTGCATTTTATTATTTTGGATAAGTTAATTCTGCCGTTCTTTCAAATACATATTAGGAATTATCTCCAAATATTCCCCTGAGAATCTACCACAGTTTGGCTGTGCTCATCACACATAAACTCCAAGCTCATCCTCTCTCATGGAAGTTTTCACAGTGAGAACAGATGTTTAATCTTGTCCTAGAGCAATCTTTCAATACAGAACGGAAGTCCCATGAGGAGAGACTGACTGTATTTCTTAGCAAAGGTAGACAGAGAGACACGAATTCCAAATGAATGCAGTCACACATCAGCCTCAAAGAAAGAGTGTGAAAAGTAAAATGGAAAATAAAGATCAGCAACAGAATAAAAACACTTAAGTCAGAGATCTTACTTCATTTTGACATGTAAATGTTCATAGAAAAACTTTTTGAGCCCTGATATTGCAACAGGCCAAGTCAGAGGGCAAAAACCCTGTTTAAAGCAATCTGTGGCATCTTTTACATAATTTCTGAAATTTTCCTAGTGCACAGTTGTATAGAAGTCTCCCATCTTTCACTGCAGATATCAACTTCATATTATTTAGATACAGATTAGCAATTCAACCTACCAGCACATTCTGCTTTTTTGGAAGTGAATTTCCATTTGAGTACTAACAAAAATAATTGTATTTCTTATTTTTCCTTTTCCTCACAGACAGGAGGGCAGGGTGCAGAAATGACCTTTTCCTTTCATGTTAGAAAAGGAGTTGCTTGTTTTGAGCAAAGGCCTTCTGTGGTTTTGCACATTTATGTTAATTTCCAATAAAATGGATGAAAATTTTAATTTAA